TTAGCTTGAAGATTCATTCTAAAACTGAGACAATGTACTATCATCATAATCATTGTGATGAAGCTGGTTGCTTCCTTGGGTTCATTTCTAACAATTGTGAGGTAGGTACTCTCCTTAAAACACTCCTATTAAGCAACAAGCATTAATTCAAACAGGACTAAATGGAACAGTTAAACATTAAAACAAAAGTACATTTATCAGAGGAACACCCTAAATACATTCACTTGGCATTATAGATACAAATTACGGGAAGTGGCTTAACCATATCAATACGAGATCAGGATGCCTTGATCTGGGAACACCCCAGATGGGATCTTCAAACTCAACTTTCAACCTTGTCTACGTCCCGCTCTCCACAGTCCCAAAGCACAGTGACTCCTCAACTCAGCAACCCAATAAACACAGTTCTTGCCAGCTATACTAAAGTCACTAAGATGCGCTACAGCAAGTTGACAATGCCGTTACATGGGTTGCTAACAGTATGACTACTGACTTCAAACTGACATGTCGTAGTCTTTCCCTACTGTTGTTGCCTTGAATTCAGTGCCTTCTAGAACTCATTCTATGTCCCTAATTTTACATCTTTACAATCATGAAAATTAGTTACTGATAATTTAATCTAGCAGCAGAAATGTGTGGAAATTTGTGATGAAAAATTATAAAGGATTACACATGAAAACATCAAGATTACCGTAGGATTGACACAATGAAGCTAGTGCAATCATTAAGACAAGTACCACATAATCATCTGTTTATAGACTTTGGTAAAGTAAACTCATCTAATTGATATTAGTTTTAATGAAGTAATACAGGCAAGTAAACCATTGATGAATAAAGCTGTGAAAATTTATAGATAACTGGATCAGAGTTACAGTATATGTCAGAAAATGCTTCAGTTGTCAATATGTATTCCTGAGTGGAACTTGGAACAAAACTGCTATCTTGGCAGCAAATTAGTTATAGACTTGCATTGAAAAATAGCAATAATGCCTCTCAGCAATACTGTCAAACGGGGTAATAAGAGACGGGCGGGGTAAATCGGGACAGTTGTCCCAAATTTTGAACAAATGTTGTAGTAGCAAAACTAATAAAAATATTGCAAAACTAAAAATAGTGGCTAAATTTCAACATTTTTACTATCTATGTAGCATAAAGCAAGTTAAGAAATCATACATTTACTACCTCTTAAAATTCCCGGAAAAAAAGTGTGAGAGTGAGATTTTGGATTTAAGTACCTCTGCTAAGGTCTGTAGCAAAAAAAATATTCGCCATATTAAAAAATTTTACTCCCTTAAAGTTGCACACAGATGTTGGCTTTAAAACGAGATTGATGAAATTTGTGTAGCTCATCCCCCCCCCCCAAAACGGCAGCCATTTCTGCAAGATGCACCTGCATTCTGCAGGTGCAATTAAAAAATTAATGCATCATCATTCATCACAAAATTGTGTGTAGATTGTCATAGATAGAATTATGCACCATGCAGCATGGGATGAAAAGTAATTAAAATATACTATGATTTATTTCTCCAAAAAATAAAATGGTTGTCTCTAAAATATTCTTTTTTGTTTCAGGTATGTTTTTTTTACAATCTATTATTGTTATAGTGAATTCACTTGACCCAATTAAAATGGTGCAAAATTACAAGCTGTCCTGAAGCTTACAGATACAGAAGAAATGCTATATGGCTGCTGATATGAAACTTGCAGTGGACAAGGTCATTATCAATGCTCATTGGCATGTCCATGAATATGGTAATATCACATCAATAATACGGTAATGTATGGATATGGTAATATATCAATATAGGAAAATCAAGGGAAATCACAGAAAATGTCATTTATTCTACATCTACATTGTCGACAAAAGAAGAGGGGGACTTCAGAGTATTGTTAGTAATGGATGAGTACACTCTGCATGCTTCAAACTTTTTGAAATTAGGTTTTATTTAAGGTGTCCCAGATTACCCCATTCCCAGGGGTAATTTGGACGCTTATATTTTGCGTCTGGCACCTTATGAATAGCATATGGAATTTTTTCAGAGATGCCATATGATAACTCTTGCAAAGGCTTTTGAAATAAGCCCAAATTTGTTTATGAAATATTTCATGGTAAGAAGTTATAAACAAAAAAAGCTTAAAACGTCCTGTATTGCCCCGTTTGATGGTAGTGAGTGTCCTTGGCATATTTATCCAAAATTCATGTTGGTGGTTTAACAAGCGTGTCACCTAGTTCACTTATATATGTTATCTGAAAGTTTGTGTTGGGTTTAACTCCATTTATCTTACTTTTATTACAACACTTCTCTTTAACTTCATTTCTTGTTTTGTTTGTCTGTCTGCTACAAATTTTATTATCAATATTTAACACGTTTTTACCTGTCCAATTGATCTGAAATTTTGCACATTTGGGTAAAGTTGGAGACAATGCATGAATCAATTGGCAGAATGAATAATTTTCAAAATTTAAAATTTTTTATTTTTCACCTCAAAAAAGTGAAAAAAATAATTTTGTCCGCTACAATTCTTATAATCAATATTTAACACACTTCTACCTGTTCAATCGATCTGAAATTTTGCACACTTGTGTAAAGTCGGAGACAATGCATGTATGAATTAACAGAATGACTAATTTTAAAAAATTTAAAAAAATTTGTAATTTTAAAAACAAAATTAACAAATTTATTTTGTAATTTTTGACAATAAAATTAGAAATTCATTGTACATGTGTAACATTGGAGACACATTGGAGAAGAAGTGTTGTCTTTAAAAAGTAGTTTGTAAACTCAAATTATTATTTGATTGTGATTAATGTGCTTAAATCTACCAACTTCATCTTTAGTGCTAATTAAATGTTCATTAAGCTGTTTTGATACCATATGAGTATCTTGGTTGTTTGTGTTGTGGGGAGACCCATTTCCATTAACTCTGCAAGGAAGCAGGAGTTTCTTGCTAAGGGGTATTTGCAAACCCCCAATTCCTGAAGTGCAATTTATTTAGTAAACATGAACTATTGGAATTGTATCTGGTGACTATTTCTGACTACCCCAAATTAAGTAGGGAAAGGATGCCTAAATATTGATGAAGTGCACTAATTAGGCTAATCACATTTCTTTTAAATGTGTGACTTTTCCAGAGTGGGATGAAACAGGAAAATATTGAATGAAAAACTAAAGGTAATGTTAGACTCCCGTGCTTTGGTTTTGCTCCTGGTCTCTGTTCTCCAATTTTACATGCTGTTACTTTAGTAAATTGTAATTATTCCTCACTTAACCCTCTACCGTCTGACATGAGTAACCGGAGCAATATTGTCACACAAGCCCTCCCAAAAAGGATACTTTCTAGTGAGCACAAAATGACTTGCACTGATGGTTGCCGCCACATACTTCAACTTTGAAATCTTATTGAGTACAAACATCCTCGGGTTGCTACACTCAATAATTTACGTATACTTGTATGTTCCCGGAGAGTGACACAGGGCGGTAGAGGGTTGAGTAAATGAATAAAATTTCCAAAAACACAAAAGATTTACGAAGTGGTTGTTTAGGATGGCTGTAGGGGAGGTGGAGACCATCTGTCAAATTGCTGGTTTGAAAACCCTGATGCAGCAAACATTCTCGGTCACATTGAGTCACCAGTAATATCATCCAGAGTGCATCCTATAACATCTGCATTCATTATATACCAGTAGCGCTTATAAGGTGTCACAGATGAGGTTCTTGACTATTGCTCTGTTTTTCTTTTTGCTTGATAATCTAATGCTTGCATTACTTTGAAATCCATTTCTTGAAGTCATGGCCACATGCCCAAGGCCCAAGCAATTTTTTATTTAGGCAAGTTATAGCTTATAACTAATAATTTTTATTTTCCTTCATGACATTTCCCATATGCATCTCGTCATGTTCCCAATATAAACTCTTCGTCTGTGCTTCTTACACTCCTTTTTATTTTTAACCCATGGTCTTAATAACTCAGGCTCCAAGAATGTATACATGAACACCATTATCCTTAATGTTTGTAAATCTCCTTACACATTCTCTGTTCACTTATGCACAATACTCCTTGCTCACCTTTAACCCATTTAACCTCTAACATTTTAACCTTTACCTATTGAATAGAACTGTATCCTGCACTCCATTTATATTGACAGTAATAAATGAGCAATCTTATGGGTTGTTACCCACCTAAAAACCTAAATTATTCAATGTTTTTGTCTTGCCTATTAGAGAGACACACAGCAACAATGTCATTTAGAAGAAGTATAAACAAAGGCTTGGGCAATGCTTGTTGTATTAATTTATTTAGAATTTTTCCAAGCCGCGTTTGAATTCAATTGATACTTGCTGTTGATGTGATAGGGATTTAACTTGCTGTCGATGTGATAGGGATTTTAACAAATTGGGGACTTCCATATAAATCTACTTTGTTTCTTATTATACATACATAAAAATACACAACAAAACTCAGAGGTCCCACTAGCAATATTCAGGTCTTCTTTTTTACCAAAAATCTTTTTCAATTATGTAGCTATATTTATATTTATTTGTGGTAAAATCTTTTGCTTGGCTATTGAACAATTTGTTGTTTGTTTTTAAACTTCTCCAACTTGGACCCAACAGAATCTAATTGATATTATAATGGATAACATGAAAGAATGTCGTGTTGTGCTGCACAAACTCTCTGATGATGCAGTTGAGAAGGGCTGGTGGTCTGGGCTGAACCTCCTGCTAAGGCCTTCTGGTGTTGGCAAAAGCAAGTCTGATGGTAAGCTCAACATTTAGATATGAACCAATATCCAAGGTGGGATTAATTTATGAGGATAAAAATAATATTCTGTGAGCTATCACTTATATATGACTTTCCATTTATATTAACAGAGACTGTGTTGCTCCCAATTATGTGCATTTGTGTATACAATGAATTACTGTTTTTATTGTGTCAATGTATTTATATCTTTTGGTACTAGTTTCACCTCCATGTAATTTCATATCAACTCTATCCAGCAACAGAGGCCAGTGGCTCATCTCTGAGCCCTAAAGTCGTTGCAGCTAACATCAAGCTTGAGCCTCTATATGAGGAGGACATATCTGTGAAGGATGAGCCTATTGATATTGATGAAAATCAGGTAAAATTATTATTCAATATCTTTTCATTGATAATCATTCCAATTTTGACAATAATATTTTCCTTCATGGGGTTAATTTTAACTTCAATGGCAATCCAGTGCTTGAAGAACTATGCTCCTATTTTGTGAAATTTGTTACTGAAATTCCCTAACAAAAGGAAATGCGTCGATTAAATATTATGTTCCAGGGCTGCAGATGAGTCTCATTTAATATAATATAGTTATATTATATTTGCAAAGAGCCTACTTAAATGCATGGATAATATTCTCATATATTTATAGGTTAGTCCTCATACCAATCAGTCAATGAAGTCTCTGTTCATGATTGTTTCACTTGGCCAGCAAACTCCCCCTTCCTCATCTTGTGTGCCATGCAAGGAGGAAGCTCAAGTTGAGGCTCGGGACGCCCACCAACGTTCCTCACAGGACGCTGCTGCTGTGCCTGAGAAACAGGTTGGTTGGGCTTGGTGCTGTGTTCTTTGTTTAGATTTTCAGTGCAAATGCTGGTTTTGTATGTGAATTAGTGAAGCCCATCATGTTTTATAACGGACATTGGGATCCATTATGATTTTCTGTGATCACTTAAATGCTATTATGTAAATAACTTAGTTTATGGTTTTTGATCACAATTCTGCATTCTAATAAAATTTGTATGATTATGTCTCTGGCAGTGAACTTCGTAATGACACGCATCTGCTCCCTGAGCCCTGTTAGGTGTAATGATTCCCATGCATGCTGTATACAATTCATTCATATTTCATTGAAATCGAGGTTCTTTAGGGGGAACCATTTGATGATGAATGACTGAATTGAAATTCTATTTGAATGTTCCATTTCAAATGCCAGTGTTTGAGGTAATATTATACACTTAACACTTTATCTATGAGGTCAATTTGAATTATTAGCTCAAAATCCACCGCAACTAATTTGCCTTCATTAGGATATTATCAAAGTATACGTGACTGATGTGACCACCTGTTGTGTCAGGTTGGTTCAGGTGAGCCTCCCAGCCCTGGGTGTGGTGGCCAGCTAGCTCCACCTCCCCCATCAGGTATTTACCACAAACGAAAATATAGTGACATCACTGAAAAAGATTTTTGAGTGGTATAAAAAATACCTGAAGTATTGTTGTGTATTTTCATATTTCTAAAATCGTGAAAAAATTATATTTACATGGGAGTCCCTAATTTTTAAAGTCCTTATCACATCAACAGCAAAAAGGATCAATTGAAATAAAATGCACCAATTACTTGAGGTATGATTATGAAGATGAAAATTATATTCTGTGGGTTAACATATATATAAGACTTTCCCTTTATTTTAACATGAGTGCATTGCTCCCAATTATGTGCATACAATGAATTACTGTGTGGATTTCGTCAATGTGTTTAAAGATTTTGGTACCAGTTTTGCCTCCATGTAATTTTATTTCAATTTTATCCCACAACAGCGGCCAGTGGCTCATCTCTGCGCCCTAAAGCCGTTGCAGTTAACATCAAAATTGAGCCTCTATATGAGGAAGAGGACATATCTGTGAAGGATGAGCCTATTGATATTGATGAGCTAGCTCCACCTCCCGCATCTGGTTGGCCGGACAAGATGGAAGCTCAAGTTGAGGCTCGTGAAGCACATGTAGCCCACCGTCCTGCCTCGCTCTCCTCTACCATGCCTGGACATGTGGTGGGTGGTTGTGTGCTGGGACGATTGAGAATTTAAACTAATGCATCACTTGATGGTTTACATAAAAGCCTCATAAGCTTGTTTGATTTTTTCAATCACTTATCATCAGGCATTTAAGTTCGATTTAATGGATATATTCATATGCTAATTTAACTATAAAATAACCTGCTATTATCAAACTACCTCGTAACCTACTTCATTGTGACCTTCTGTTACTTGTTTGTTTAAAATTATTGTCAAATTTCACTTCACCTGTAAATTCTGCATACACTGAGATGGTGGTTAAAAGTAAGGTGTATAAGCCAACCATGGAGCTGTACCATCTGGTGCAAAAGCTTCACACAGAATTTGGAAACTTATAGAGCCGCATTGTATCAGCTCATTGTGAGATTCTGTGCATGGCGAGCGCCGAGTGCTTCGTTTCTTCATCATCTCCTTCTCTCTGAAACGCCATCAAGCTCTTCTTTGTCCTTATCTCTTCTTTGTTTTTATAAGTGTCAGTTAAACATTAAATAGAATAAGCAATCCAAGCATGACGTGCTTATCAAATAATCCTTTTTTATGCATAAAATGTCCAATTTAGCCCAAAACAGTATGAATACACATAAAAAATAAACCAAAAATTACTAAATGCAATTCAACAAAATTACATTATATTCCATGACTTTTTGAATAATTGAAGCTAAGATTTGTATAGATTTTGGTCAAAGTTGCAGGTAAGCGCCAATAAAATTTTGATTCATTTGGATGCATTTCCTCTAACAAATCCTTGTTGCCAATGTGCCCTCAGAACGTGGGTAGGAGGCAGTCCGCACCTGCAGGAGATCCAGAAGACGCTGGTGGCAGCGGCGGCGTCTCTGAAGCGTCCAGCTCCCAGCAGCGCAGCGAGAGGCTCCCGTATTCCCAGCGGGGTTTTGTTGATGCCAAGGTTACCTGCCAAATGCAGCAAGCCAGCTGAAGAGGCATGGTCTTTTTAAGCATTCTTCTAACAAACCTCTTAGCTGCTCAGAGTGTGAATATTCTTGTGTGACTAAGAGCCAGCTAAGAAATCATATTCTTCAAAAACATACATTTGAGTAAACTCTCCGCTGTTCTAAGTGCAAACATGCTTGCTCCAGGAAAGAAAGCTTAACTCGACACTTTGAGGCTAAACATTTAAGTGAAAACTCTTCAGTACTCAATGTGTAAATGAAAGACATTGAGTAAACTGACTCGTTGAATATCATCTGTCGTTTCATTGACCAGAGGAACCACTTTGCTGCTGCGAGTTGATCACATTCAAACCATCTTTTATGTGAAATTTTATTGCCAACGACTTCCAAATTTACTGAACAAGTCATTTGAATGTTAATTTTATGGAGTACAACTAGTAAAGGGGATAGTATTACCTGTTTGGTTCATTCTGTCCATACGATGCCTCAAGTTTGCACCTGCATCGACTGCGATGCTCCAACGCCTGCACCAGCATCGTCATGCGGTGCCCCGACGCTACGAGACTGGTGATAGCTGAAGCCCTCATCATTAAGGATAAGTCTCCAGCTATCAATTTACCAACCACTGGATGTTGGAATTGTTATCAGCGCACTTCATTGAACTATGATCAGAGTTCAAGGTGGTCCTGAAGGAATTCGTCCCGTGCCGTCTAAACGCCTTTGAGAACTCCATGTTAGTATCTTCGAGACAGGTATCTTGGATACCACCATATTCGCTATATTTTGGATACGGTTTTTTTAATACTGCCATTTCAGTATTATTGTCATGCAGACGAGGCCTGTGAGGTGTCATCTGCCCGCACATCAGCTGGTGGTCATGCTTTAGTTTCGCATCTTTGCTACTTTACATTCGCCTCAGCACGCCAATCTGCAATCCTTCCTTTGCAAGTTTACATTTACCAACTACTTTTCACACGCAGACCTCTGCTACACTCGACTACCCTGCTCATATTTTTATTACTCAAGGCAATTAAAACGAGCAAGAATAAGCCAACCCCCTTGTGGCTCGCGTTTCGATAGTTACAGAGTGGGGCTGAGAAACTTGCTCATTTGAAACATATTATAACAGAAGTATAAAAAATATACAAGTGAATTTTGCAATAGTCTAATCAAGAACGAGTAAATTTTACAATTAGCCAGTTCTAAAGATGATATCGCGCAAATTACGTCCGTTATTGCCAATACATTGTGTCATGAAAGTGCCAACGAAATGCACGCTGTGTAGCGATGATTGATTTACCACAGGAGAAATATGCCTCAACCACAAAAGCACGTACCACGTTAGTCCATTCCATGAATACTGCGAAGAAAAAAATAGAATAATGCGGCTCATCACATAAACAAAACCTTACAGTTCGCGCTCTTGATTAAGCTCCTACTTGAAGTTACCGAAGCCAATCACACTTCTGGAAGGCTAATTAAAATAAGCAAGTTCCTCTTCCCCACCCTGTATATTCATCACAAAAATTAAGATGGGAATGAGAGAGCTCCCGCGGCCACAGCTCCGATTATTGGGACAACTGGCGCCTCCGCCAGCCGCTGTCGGTTTGGTCGGTCACTGGGTAGGGTAGTGTTGTGTAATTGTGGCAACATCAGAGTTTCATCCATTATTTCTTTGATGATGATTTCTTTCTTTTACTGTGCGTGTTGCATCAAAGAAATATGTGAATAATTCATTAAACTAAATCCTAAAAACGTGTCAACAGCGTGTTGCTTGCACCTGACGCGATTAGGGTTGACACAGTGTTTGAACGGAAAGACGAGAAATGGGAGTTTTAACTACACGGGCGAACATAATAGCTGATAGGAGTTGCCGTGTAGATGTCGAGAGCTTATTGTGATATTTGCGCATTTCTGACGTCATTACATTAATTAAGCTGTTATTAAGTTCATTTGCAACAATGTACACACAAAGTCACGCTTAATAATATTTGGTTTTCATAATTTGCCATAAATCACAGCCTCAGAGCGTTCGAAGCCTTGAGGTTGGAGTAATCCTAGCGCCTGTTCGTGGTTTCTTGATGTCCATTTGATCTTCCGGCAATGACGCTGGACTCGCCACTCAGCAGATACTGACCTTAACTCACCACTCGTCAATAAAGACTATTTATTATTGGTGAGAACTACTAATTGTGTTTAATTATCCCATAATATTTTCTGCTGTTCACATTTTTTACCAGGATGTTTGTACTGAATATATTTCACAAAATGAATCGTTGTTATTTGAGGCCGGCGACATGTTATTGGCACTGACGTTTACTTATATATATTACTTAAATATCTTATATATTTTGATGGACTCCAGGACCTGTTTTGTGTATGCAGGATACGACCAAGAAATTTGAAGTCAATGCCAAAGTTAGAATTTATTTGCCATTTGTTACGCACGAGTGGAATATTGAGGCAGCCCGCAGAATATTGAGGCAGCCCGCAGAATATTGAGGCAGCCCGCAGAATATTGAGGCAGCCCGCAGATCGTCAATCCCGGGCAAAGTCTGGTCGACTTATTTATTATGAATGTCTTTAATAAATTTTAGTTGATGTTATCTGTGTAATTTTCCCCTATTTAGACCGTGACTAACCGTTACAATCACTGTTGTTGTCGGCGAAGTGACATCATGGAGGCACTTGGGCGACTTATGGAGTCCGTGTTCCTGAGGAGCTCTTGCGGTGCCATGGCGGGACTCGAGTGACGTCACGAACTCCATATCTTCGATTGTAACTGAAAATTGTGCACAGTACGAATGATGTGTTGATTGATGTATACCTGCATCAAATAACTTGCTATTAGACCGGTTCTTGATGAGATTTGGTGAACTGTTACGGATTGGATTATTCACATACAATTTTTGATCACTAGTTTCTTTAAGAAACGCTTCACATTTAGCCATTTCTTCGCTCCATTCCTCAGTAACGGCCGATAAATCACACTTCCACGCGAGCCAGTTGTTGCTGCCTGTTATAACGGCCACAAATAAATTTAACCAGTTTTTCCGGCCAGTAACTTTGTACACGTGGCCATTAATGACTACCAGCGTTTCATGGCCGACATTGTTTCTTGAGTGGCCGCAGAAAGACAGGTTATTCGAAATTTCAAGCCTGGCATTATTATTCAGCATACCAAGACGTCTATTTCATGATTAATATATATCCGATTATATGATATTCGATTAATATTACTATTAATATTTTATTTATAACTGTATTATTTGTTAATATACATGTTAATTTTAATTAATTACAGTTATCATTCTATTAATATAACGATTATTATAATTGATATATATACGTATATATAACATAATTATTTATAACACCCCTATTTCGCATACCTACACCCCTATTTCGCATACCAACACCCCTATTTCACAAGCCAACACCCCTATTTCGCATACCAACACCCCTATTTCGCATGCCAACACCCCTATTTCACATGCCAAAATCCCTATTTCGCATACCAACACCCCTATTTCGTATACCAACACCCCTATTTCGGATGCCAACACCCCTACTTCGCATTCCAACACCCATATTTCGCATATCAACACCCCTACTTCGCATGCCAACACCCCAATTTCACATGCCAACACCCCTATTTTGCATAGCAACACCACTATTTCGCATACCAACACCCCTATATCGCATGCCAACACCCCTATTTCGCATGCCATCACCCCTATTTCGCATGCCAACACCCCTATTTCGCATGCCAACACCCCTATTTCACATGCCAACACCCGTATTTTGCATACCAACACCCCTATTTCGCATGCCAACACCCCTATTTCACATGCCAACACCCTTCGCATGCCAATACCCCTATTTCGCATATCAACACCCCTATTTCACATGCCAACACCCCCATTTCGCATGCCAACACCCCTATTTCGCATGCCAACACCCCTATTTCGCATATCAACACCTCTATTTCACATGCTAACACCCCCATTTCACATGCCAACATCCCTATTTCGCATGCCATCACCCCTATTTCACAATTCATTTATGGAGAAAATTAAATAAATTAAAAATTAAACAATAGAATAGTTCATCAGAAATTCCATTACCAGGTCACAATCTTCTTAAAAAAAAGTTTCACAACGTGAATGTATTCTTACTAGAAAGAAATAACAGTTAGAACATCATCTTGGCAAAATTGTCCGCTGAATATCAAACTCTGTGCTTACATTAACCCCCTACCGCCGTATGTCAATCTCCGGGAACATAACTTTCAACTTATATTATACGTTAACTATTTAGTGTAGCAACCTGAGGACGTCTGTACGCAACAGAGAACATTTTAAAGTTGTCGTACGTGGCGGCAACCATCAGTGCAAGTCATTTTGCGCTCACTAGAACATATCCTCTGCGGGAAGTAGGCGCGTGACAATGTTGTTCGGTTACTCATGTTAGGCGGTAGAGGGTTAACCATCGTCAACAGCATTTGCTTTTAAAATTCTGGTAACATGAATTATGGTACGTATTTATAAAATTCCAATGTCGCGATTTATAAAGTTAATCAGAAATTAATAGGACGTAAAATTGTTAAGTAACTTGGAGAATTGAGTGACGTAAACAAAACTTATCATAAATGTCACAATTTTTAATGTATAGTATACACCTATAAATATTTGGGAACAAAAAAAGAAATATTATGCATCGCAGTCTACGATGAATGTTGATCCGACGATGGAATGAACATAAAAACTTATCTAATTTTTGTAACTCCAAGACTTGCGTAAAGTTATTCGTAGTGAGTCGTTAACTTTACCAATCTCATTTATCCTTATTCTCAGCCAACCACGCGGCCGCCAGTTGGTCTTGTAACAGCTACTGCATTGGGCTTAGCTATGCGACCAGACTCAACCTCCTCCATGGGGAGGGAAGGGACGGTGGACATTAATACTTCTTATTGAGAGATAACTTGAAGACAGACAAGGCCGCACGACGGGAGTAAAAATATCGT